GCCTCTGTTTCTACCCTCGCCTCAACCCCACAGCTAATGTGAGCCTTTTGAAACCCAAGAGACACTTGTGACAGCTAACCATTTCCCTTAGAGCATGTGTGCTCCATCACTTCAGCCGTGTCCGACTCTCACCCCATGGATGGAAGATTATCCCGGCGAGAATACTGGAGTGAGTTGCCATTTTCTCCTCCAGGGGATCTTCCCAACCCCCTCTCCTGTGGCTCCCGCACTGGCTGCTGGATCCTTTACCACTAGCGCCACACGGGAAGCCCCATTTCCCTCAGGATAAAGCCGACGTCCTTACGACGGCCTCAATGTCCTGCAGGACCTGGGCCACCTACCCCACCTCTGATAGTGTCCCCTCATGGTGTCAGCTCCAGCCCGCCTCCATGCTGATCCTGATTCTAGCTGCCCCCTACTGATCTGCTAGTTCACGTCTTCAGATACCTTTTCATCAAAGCCTACTCTATTTGTGACACTACCAGTCAAAAAACTTACAGTTAAAAAAAAAATTCCAAAGCATCCATCACCATCTAAATGCTATGTAACTTATTTACTATCTCCCTCCCTCCGGGTAGAATGTAAATTCCACCCAGACAGAGATTTCTCTGTCTTGTCACCGACCAGTCCTAAAACTGGCGCTGTACCGAGCACACAGACAGCACTCAGTACGTATGTGGGGATTTTTCTTCAGCTTTTCCAGGGTGCAACCTTTAGCTCTGTGGTTCTCCAGGCAGTTGAGACTGTGGGTGTTTCCTGATCCCTGGATTGCAGTCACACAGGGTGTTCTGGAACCCATAGCTCCATCCTGGCCCTCCGCCTTCCTGGTTTTAGCTATGGCTATAGCTCCCCTGGTGGAGCAGTGCTCCAGGGTTCTGATTCCTGGAGATTCAACCTAGGGCTCGTTCCTCCAGCTTTCCAATAGGTCTAAAAATATGCATTTTCCTGTCTTAAACTTCTCTACTTAGGGTACCTAGAATGGTTTCTATTTCTCTACTGAATCCTGAAAAGTATGCAAGATAAAACTATTAGGCCAATGATGATTAAAACTGCATTTTTTTCCTGACCAATTGGGTCTTAAATGTGAATTCGCTAAACAGAAGGAAGTCCAACCTCTGTCTCAGCTTTCAGGGTGTTGGACCAGTAAGCGCTCCAATGACAGAGGACAGAAGTGCTTCAGAAGAACCAAGTCAGCAGTTAGTCACACAGCGGGGCTCCTGGAGTTGGTAACCTGTCTCCAAGTTTTCAGATGATGTCCTTGAGACCTAACCCCACCCCAGTCTCCACCCTCCATCAGTAGAACTGTGGCAGCTGAACCACAGTCAAAGAGCAGCTGTTAACATTGCATCTGTCAGCACAGCTTTAGCCCTCTTAAGAGGGGAATGCCCCAAATGCGATGTATCCTGCATGGGGCAAGGCGAAGGATGTCCCTTTTTTTCACTGTGACTAAGGGTTCTCAGGTGGCGCAGCGGTAAAGAATTTGTCTGCCAGTGCAGGAGATGCAGGGAACACGGGTTCAATCCCAGGTCAGGAAGAGCCCCTGAAGGAAACGGCAATTTGCCCCAGCATTCTTGCCTGGAAAATTCCATGGACAGAGGAGATTGCTGGGCTAGAGTCCATGGTGTCACAGAGCCGTGTGTATGACTGAGCATACACAGCACACACCTAAGAAATAAGCCTCTTTTCCTTTAAAGAGTAAAGTGTGAATCAATTCGACCATATGTGTAGGTCTGGGAGAATTAAAGGGCATTGTCTCTGGTCTTTTCAGCTAGATAAGTATCTGAAGTACAAGATACTTATTAACCAGGAAGGACTGTATTTGAGATGAAATCTGTAATAAAACAGCATGTTTATATATGTCACACACGATTTTGTAGTCTGAAAGAATATGCACTACAATGTTAAAACTGGTTTATTTAGAGTAAAAGATAACATTAAAAAAAAAATTCTACCTAGATAGACTTTTATGATTTAACAAGAGACAGCATTTTTTGATGATGGTGTCACCTCTCATGGACCGTCTGTACCTACCTTTCCTGTTTCCTCCCTCCTAACAAAACCCTACCTCACAGGCAACACGGTTACCAGTGCTAAGGGACAGACGGGCCCCCCATCCTTTTTCGCCAGAGTCCAGCCAAGGAGGGGCATGGGGCCTGCTCTATCAGAGACACAGGGCCAGAGCTCCCCGGGCCTCCGGAGCGTATTCCTCCCTGATGTGAGCAGAATGAGGAAGTCCTTTACCGCTATGTACTTCGCATCCTGCTTTGGCTCTGAGAACTCTCACTGTAAGAAATGATGCCGAGTTGTTATAGCCACTTTAGAACGCCAGAGATGGTGGAACAAACGCATCCTAGAAAATCTTGATGCTTTGGCTGACCCTGGAACCATCTTATCTCCAGACTGCTGGTTACATGAGATAATTAAACATCCCATCGCTTACATCCCTGTCAGTCTAGTTTTCTACTTGCGCTGATCACATACTGACAGCAGCACTCTTTTGTCTTGCATAAAAGGAAAACTGTGTCCACTGTAACTTAAAAGCAACTTTAAAAACTATTATTATCTCATTTTTTAGAAAATGAGTAAAACCGAGTTTAGGGAAGTTAAGTAATTTTCCTCCAAAGTTATACTGGTGGAGTTATATTCAAACTCAATCCGGACTCTGAAGCCCACATTCTGTCTACTTACGTAGTTAAGAAATGAACAAGCCTATAGTTTACTGTCCATGTCTTAACAAAATACATACACACAGATGCAGGTAGTAATAAATTTTCATCCATTTTCACTCATACATGAATCTGGCTTTGGGCTTTTTACCCGTTACTTGTATTTATTTGTCGGTACAAATGGAGGCTTTGGAGGCTTGTCCACGAAAGCAGATGTGTCCTGTCTTCTCCCTACACTCCTACTGTCCAACCTGTGTATCAGGAATGTAAAACAGGCTGTGGGGACTCTGATTCAGGGTTGTAATGTTCAGTCTCCAATATACTTGAAATGGCAAAACAGTGAGCTATAAAGTGATATATATGCTCTTCCTCAAGTTTTTGTGGAAGAATCAGAGAATTAAAGACTGTGAAACATCAAATGTCTACTGAGGCAGGGACTTTGAGTTAGCCCAGAAAAGCAGAAGTTTTTGAACCAAACAAACCCAGAGAAGGACCACCTCCTTGGTGGTCCCACAGTTAACACTCCATGCTTCCACTGAAGGGGGCATAGGTTGGATCTCTGCACAGACCTAAGAGTCCCACATGCCACAGCATGCCCCCCGCCCCCCATGAAACCGAGAGAAAGGATTACAATGGAGACTTACTGGCATTAGCTGTAGAAAAGGAGCAAATATTAAAGCTCAGAGAACAAAAAAAGCTGTTGGTTTATCAAAACTTCTCAGACCAAATAGGATTTTCATGGCACACGTCTTCAAGACCCTTTTTGCTCAGCTGCCCTCTACAGTGAGGAGAGAAACCACAACAGCACCATCTAGCAGAACTCAATGAGCTCTTACCTAAGAAGGGGCAATGTGGGGACTACATAGTCAATCCCGCCTCCTAGCTACTGATGATGCGGCTTGAAGGGCTTAGTGAAAAGCCCAGCAGTGATGAATTTAAAAACAGGCTCAAGGAACAAAAAAAAAAAAAAACCAACAACAACAAAAAAATAAAAACAGGCTCAAGGAACAGAAGGGCTTCCCTGGTAGCTCAGACAGAAAATGAATCTGCCTGCAATGCTGACAGACCTGGGTTCAATCCCTGGATTGAGAAGATCCCTTGGAAAAGGGAATGGCAAAGCACTCCAGCATGCCTGCCGGGAGAATTCCATGGACAGAGGAGCCTGGGCTTTAGTCCATGGTGTTGCAGAGAGTCAGACACGACCGAGCAACTAACACAAGGAACAGAAGGGAGACTAAAGACAGGAGTATCCTTCCCAAACCTCTAGGGCCAGCTAAGTCAGGAGGGAGCATTTCTCATGGAGCCTGTGTGGTTCCCAACCATTCCAGGGGCGCTTTGCTAAGCTCGAAGCAAAGGGAGCCGCGATGCCGTGTCTAATGACCACAGACACGGCCGCAGGCGGCCTGCCCCAACCTCCAGGGTGTCTCCGTGGCCCTGCTCTGCAGACCAGGACTAAGGAGAGACGCTGCTCCTCAGGGCACACACGGGATGGGTCAAGAGTGTGCGGAGCTGCTGAAAGGAACAAGACCACAATGAACTACAAGGCCAGTGCGGCCAGGGAGAGCGGGGTCCAAGCCAATGCCGGGACAGGAGACAGAGTCGGGCCTCTCAAACTGAAAGCTTCTCAAGTGAGAGTTCATCTGTCAAGTGTTGATGAGGTCACTATTCAATCATCTCCACTTTCTTTTTCGCCCAGGGTTGTTTTTCAGTATTTGAGTTGGTGGGGTGATAATTAGCAACGAGCAATCACAGGTTTCTTCTGAGAAAGTTTAAGTGGAGCTGGAAGAGGTGAGGGTGGGAGCAGTGAGTCCCAGGACCACCGTGACCCCGAAGGCACCTGTAGGACTGGGAGGAGTCAAGTCTTCGATTCCCTCTCTTCTGATGACACCTATGGCTAGGGGCTCTCAGCAATGAACAGGAAGTGCTTGCCTAAGATACCCATGAGAAAAAAGGGCACAGAGAGGCCCAGGCCCAAACCTTCAGAGCATCAGTCCAGAGGGATGGGACATGGAGTGAGAATGTGCGGAGAAGCAGTTCCATTCACCTTTTCTGAGAGATCCTTGGAATCTCTCTTTTGTTTGAAAACACTCAGGCGAAGGAAAACTAAACTAACATTTATTGAGCTCCTACAGTGTATGTCCAGCCTTGTGCAAGGACATTTCATCGACAGTATTCCATAGCATCCTCACGCCAACCCTGTGAGGTAGGTATTGTCCTCGATTTGTCAGATGAGGACTCTGAGGCTCAGAAAGGTTAGGTAGTTTGTTCAGTCACACTATTAGTAATGGACAGAGCTGAGGTTGAGTCTCAGACTCCAGACATCTCTGATCTCTCTCAAGCGCTGCCTCTTGGGAGGAAGGAGGGAGCAACAGCGTCTCCTACCTTGAGAACCAAGACGTCCCCAGAGAAGGAGCCTGTCCTCGCCCAGACCGTCCCTTCTCTGCCTGGGGAGGGTGCAGTCTGCTGAAGAGCTAAGACATAAATATAAAAATAAATAGCAGGGACCAACCCCCTAGCAGTGAGGGTGTGCAGTTTCCTCACTGTGGGAAGGTCATCATGCCGTTCACAGCCGCCGTGGAAGGGAGCCACGTGTGGGCCCTGTGGGGAAAACTGGGACAATGGCTGGAGTGGGTGGGCTAAACAGGCCCCCTTCTGGGTCGAACAGATTTGAGAACAAAACGTCTGGAGCAGGCAGCAGTCATGGGCACAGTCACCACCGTCCTCCATCTGCTCACTTTACCGGTGCTTGTGATCCAGCAGGGATTCGAAGTTGGGAGAACAGACAAGTTTGTGCTTTATGTGTCCCAGGACTGTCATGTCGCCTGTCCTGCTGTCTCCAAGGCCCACGGACACCAGCTCCTGCCAATCAACAGAGATGGAGATGAAAGGCAAGACCACACATCCCACTGCTCAGTCCTGTGACTTTAATGTGATGATCCCAAGAGCCCTTCCCCCATACTCAGCACCAAGTTGTCAACATGCTGAACAGCCTCCACCCCGACCGGGCTCACTCTCACCTGCAGGAAAGAGCAAGTGGTCCCCATCGTTACGTCCAGAGTCACCTTGCCGAGGAGGAGCTGCACCTTCCCTGACTTGCGGATGAGCAGCTTGCCGACCTGTCCCTCTGTCAGGTCAGCCAGGGTACAAGTGTTCTCTGCCAGCCTGGCTTCCTGTGAAGACAATCAGGGGATGGAAACTGGGTGAGGAACTGTCTCCTCCATCCTTCAAGAACAAACCCTTTCCCAAAGGGAGGCATCAGCAGCAAAGGTTAGAAGGAGCTCCCCAGACTTCCCTGGTGATCCAGTGGCTAAGACTCTGAACTCCCAATGCACGGAACCCGGGTTCAATTCCTGGTCAGGGAACTAGACCCCACATGCCACAACTAAGAGTTCACATGCCACAACTAACACCCCAACCCAGGGATTGAACCCGGGTCTCCTGCATTGCAGACAGATGCTTTACCATCTGAGCCACCAAGGAAGCCCTTTAAAAAAACAATATTTAGAAAAAAGAAACAAAAATGAGCTTCCCAGAGAGGGCCTTTTCCTGGGAATGCCTGCCACTGGTCAATAAACAAAACAAAAAAACCCAAACCACAGATAAATGGACAAAGTATCAGTAACTGCTGAAACTAGGTGATGGTACATGAGAACTTATACTCTCTCATTTGTATATGTTCAAACAGTTCACTGTGAAAAATAAACACACACAATTTGGGCTGAAGCACAAAGCCCCATGCCCTTTGCAGGCAGCAAGAACGCCTATTATTCTCAAATTTCACTACGGGCAACATCCCTCTGCTTCCCCCTCCAGGTGGCTATTTCCCCTCCAGGTGCCACGCATCTTCACAGCCCTCACTGGTGAGCATACCCGATCTTTCTCTTGCTTTATAACCACCATCTGCCCATCCTCGCTCTGCACCTCCGTCTTGATGGGCTTGATGTCCTGAGTGGGTGGCTGGCCGGGGAGTGAGTCCGGCAGCTGAAGGAACAGCAGCTCTTCCTCCTGCGTGAGGCTCAGCTCCCTGAGCAGCTCCGCCACAGACACATCCTTCGGGAGGCCTGGGATCTTCCTGGCTGCTCTGAGAGGAGCCTTCATCTTGGCCTCCTCATCCTCATCTCGGGGCTCCTCTTTCACTACCCGAGACAACAGAACATGAAGGCGATCAGAGGCCACCTCACCACACCATCCCGTCCGCCTGGTCTGCTCCCGTCCCTCAGCCAGGAAGCTGGAGGGAAACTGTGCTTAGAAAGAGGGGCCCAATACTTGTGTGACTTATTTAAACAGGGTGGCCCAGTGATTACGAATCCACCTGCCAATGGCAGGGGACACAGGTTTGAACCCTGGTCTGGGGAGGATCCTACATGCTGCAGAACAACAAGCCCATGTGCCACAACTACTGAGCCTGTGCTCTAGAGCCCAGGAACCACAACTACTGAAGCCCACACGCCCTAGAGCCTGTGCTTGGCAATAAGAAAAGTCATTGCAATGAGAAGTCCGCACACCACAACAGAGAGTAGCCCCCACTTGCTGCAACCAGAGAAAGCTGGTGTGGAGCAATGAAGACCCAGCACAGCCAAAAATAAATAAACCTTAAAAAAAAGGAACTAACTCATTCTTTAAAAAAAAATTAAATAAATGAAAACAGGTAGCTGAGGCTGGGCTCACCAATCCCCATCAGGGGCTGGGAAGTGCTAAGAAAAGACTTAGCAGCAGCAGTCAGGCAGGCTCGCTCCTGCAGGAACAGCTGGAGCAAAGGAGACGAGACCGTAACTGACCGAGTACCTTTCACAGCAGGCACATCCACCTCCATATCCTCTTCCTTGGGGCCGGCCAGCCGTGGTTTAACATCTGCTTCCTCATTCTCTTCCTTAAAAAGCCAGCCCGAGTGAGCCAGCGGCAGTTGCACAGGCATATTTCGAGTGTCATTCCTAAGCCCAGGGTCATCGATGAACTGCCAAAGAAAAGTCGGGGGGTCACACAGCAGGGCCAGCATACGCACGTACCTGGAGGGCAGTGCACCTTGCCCGGTCACTCGGTCATGTCCGACTGTAGCCCTCCAGAGTCCTCTGTCCATGGGATTTTCCAGGCAACAATACTGGAGTGGGTTGCCGTTTCCTTCTCCAGGGGATCTTCATGACCCAGGGATCGAACCTGTGTCTCCTGCATCTTCTGCACTGCAGGTGGATTCTTTACACCTCTGAGCCACCTGGAAGCCCACAGTCCACCTTAGCTCTTTTCCAATCAAAGATTCCTGCCGCTCACCAGACTTTCAGGACATTAGAGAGCTTCCCCCATCCTGGTTCCCTGGAAGTGCTTTTCATCACAAAAGCAGCCCCTTCCCCTTGTCTGCTGGTACCTACATCATCCTTCTCCAGCATGCGCAGGATCTGTTTTGTTTCTTCATCTGTCTCCCTCTTCTCCTTTTTGATGTTGATGATGTGAGAGGGCCCCACGTCTGACATATCCACAGTCTTATCCCAGTTCCCTGTGGAAAACCACCCACAGTTCACCAGGAGTGAATGAGGAGCCAACAGCAAGGAAGGCTAAACTGGGAGCAAGCGGGGGACACCACCACCCTGGTCCTTCTCTTGGGCAGTCTGGACTGAAATCCACTGATTCCTTCCTCCCAGAGCCCTAGCAGCTTTGTACCCTTTTTCTTCATCATTTCGGCGGGGCCCTGCTCGAAGATGGAGTGGGACTGGATCACTTCTGGGCGCCCCCGGCCCCGTCCATGGCTCTCTCGCTGTCGGTCTCTGTCCCTTTCACGCTTCTCTTTCTTGACAGTTACTTCTTCCTTGGGCCTGGAAAAGCAAATGGGTCAAAGGAAACTACTGACCTCACCTGCATCCGAGAACTGGTCTCACTCTCCCACACCACTCTGCTCCACCGGAGGGGAGTTTATGAGCCAACAACTATACCGTGAGAAGAACAGCACCCACCTGTGTGGGTGGTCTAGCACCTTTTTCACTTCCTTGATGAGGTAGAGTCCTTCAGTTTACTGTACTTTACCTTTTTGAAGAGTGTATACTAGAATTATAACACAAAAGGCGAATTACAGAGATTGCCCCCAAATGTGGATTTTTTTTTTCTGGTATTGACTGAAAGCAGGAAGGTTGCAACACAAAAGAATATAAGGGAAAACCTGACCCATCGTTGCCCAAACTATTGGCTCTCAACTCTGGCTATAAAACATAATCTCTCTCTCAAGTTAGACAGAGAAGAAGAAATTTGTATGACATCCCTTATATGTGGAATCTAAAAAGGAATTATACATATGAATTTACTTCAAAACAGAAAGAGACTCACAGATTTAGAAATCGAACTTGTAGCTGCTTGTACACACTGCTATATTTAAAATGTATAACCAACAAGGACCTGCTGTATAGCACATAGAACTCTGCTCAATGTTATGTGGAGGCCTGGATGGGAGGGGGAGAATGGATACATGTATAGGTATGGCTGAGTCCCTTCACTGTTAAACTAAAACTATCATAACATTGTTAAATGGCTATACTCTAATAAAAAAAAATTAAAAGTTAAAAAAAAGATAATCACTGTTTCATTGCAAATAAGTTAAAAAAATTTTAAGGATGAATTCCCAGGCATAAGTATTTTTTTAAAGCTTGCACATTAGAATCACCTGGGAGCCAGGGTTGGCAATCACTACCAAAAAGAACTAAATCTACAAATTTAAACTTCTGAGCCACCTACTTAGTTATTTCCCCAAAGGTCCAAATGCAGAGCAAGTAAACAAAGGGGCAAGGCTTCCCAGGTGGCACTAGTGGTAAAGAATACAGGAGACACAAGAGATGCAGGTTCGATCCCTGGGCTGGGAAGATCCCCTGGAGTAGGGAATGGCGACCCACTCCAGTATTCTTGCCTGGAGAATCCCATGGACAGAGGAGCCTGGCGGGCTACAGTCCATGGGGTGGCAAAGAGTCGGACTCAAGTGAGCGACTGAGCACACACGCACAAACAAGGCGCGAGTATTCAGGAGGCCTAGCTACTTACTCTTCCTTGATCTTCCGACTGATGATATTTGGGGTGAAGGTTTTCTGAAAGTAAAATACAGGAGTCACTGATTCGGTAAATTCTGGTCCCAAAGTACAGAGGAAAAGAAAAACTTCCAAAGGGCATCTTCTATGGATGAAGACCAATATGGCTCTCTTCGGCACATTCCACACTGTTGTCAAATATCTACTGAAATGGACAGGTGCTTGAAAAGGAGGAATGTCATGCCAAGGGGATGGTGAAGCTATATATAGAAGCGGGCATCAAAAAACATTTAAATGGCAGCCTCAGTCTCTGCCTCTTGAAAGGACAGCCCTCATGACTCTAAAAGCAGAGGAATTTACCTACTCTCACACTTCATCTTCAAATTGCTATGAAGACCAGACAGTATTATAGAGAATGAGCTCTACCAGCAAGGTTCAAATGGGAAAGACAGATCTGCCAGCACTCACAAACTGATGATTGGGTTAGACTGCCACCAGAATTTACAAAGGGAAACAGGTCTTCAAAAACTGGCTGTTTTATGCTCTGTCATCCTCCCCACTCTTTACAGTCTACCCTTCATATCTACAGTGACAAACATAATAGAAGACACAGAGGCTCTAATATCACCTAAGACTCAATACTTTGGACCAGAAGTCTGCATACTGGGATCCAGGGCAAATTCAGAACGCTCTTAAACTGCAGGCAAAGTTTATGTCTGCGTGGCTATCATGGGTTTCTGAAAGGTAGCCAAGACACACCAAAAGGAAATAAACCCTGCTCAAGTTGCTTCTGAGCTAACTAGGATTCTGTTCTTCAGCCATCTCTGAGAGCCATGTCAACATCTCAGACCCAGTATCTTGACTTGAAGGCAGGGCAAGCTACCCAGAAATTGCAAGCGGAAGTCTGAAGACCAGATTCTCAAGGCCCAACACCACGCCTGGCGCACGGTAGGCCCTACAGTCAAACCCCCCGGTGCCTGGAATTCAGCGTAGTTGGGTTTCTGTAGAAAGGTGCCGTCGGGTACCTTCTTGACTCCCCCGAGGGTGAGGTCCCTGGAGCGGATGGAGGGAAGGCGGCCCGGGGTGAGGGGAGGTGCCGGCCTTCGCCCAATAAGCCCCCGCGACCCAGAAAGGAGGGGTCGGGGCCCTCCCGGAGCGCTGGGCTCGCCCGCGGCGTTTCCTTCCGACATGATGCCTGGGAAAGAAGGCGAAAAGGGGTAACGAAGTCACCCGAGGAGGAAGGACTCGCGGACCCTGAGCGGAACCCCACCCACGTGGCCTCCCGCCCCCCAGTCGGCGCGTCCCTCCCGCAGCGACTCAGCTCCTCCCCCTCCCACGTGGCGGGACTCCCCCGACCACCCCGGCCAGGGCCCTTGGCTTGCCTTCTCCCAGGCCCCCGGCCAGGCAAGAGGCAAAGACGCACCCCTCCGCACCCAGGCTGTAGTTCCACACCACGTGGGTCCCGATTTCACCTCCGACGCGACGCGCAGCGTGTTCCGAGTCTCGGCGCCGGGCGGAAGTCTGCGTGGCAGGGCCCGGGCGCCGCCATCTTGTCGCGGGGCGGAAGTGAGGTCGGTGGGCGGGGCCGGGCCACAGTATTTATCCCGCGGCGTCTCGCTCCCCTCCGCCTTCTCTTCCCGGTTCTTCCCGGAGTCGGGAAAAGCTGGGTTGAGAGGGCGAAAAAAGAAGAGGGGAAGGGTCTAGGGGAAGGGTACGTTCGCGGAGTCTTGGCCCCGGGCATAAGGTGGGGGCGCCCAGCTCAGGTCTGGGGGCCGGGAGGCCGTCTGGACGCAACGTGGGAGTTCGCCGTTGGTTAGCCTCGGGGTCGAGACTCGGGATGGGGCGGAGATGCGGGGCAGAGAGCGAGACCCCGACTCCGAGCCCTGGAGCTCTAGGCTGGGTCCGGCCGAGCCTCGATCGCCGGCTTGGTGATGACCTTGGAGTGGTCACTGCACCTCCGGGCTGCGGCCTCAACCTCGTTTGGGGATCTCCATCGGACTCCTGGTGGGGTCCTGGGGTGGGACTGTGGACGTGGGGCCGTGAGCACAGCGCTGGAGCAGCTGAAGCGGTTGAAGCGGGTGCCTAATCGCACCTGCCCTAGGCTTGTGACTGTGGGTCCTTGTATACACGCTTGTTCCAGTCCTGGAACCTGAAAAACGAAGTTCGTTCTACTGGGAGGGACAGATTTAACGAACTTTCTTCGTGACTCTGATGTTTGTAATTAAACATAAAAAATGCCTTTACTGTCGTTCACTCCCAAAACCATGTGACTTTAGAGATAGCTTGAGGGAAGGGAAACATTTGTTAGAATTTCACACAGAGTAACTATTAAAACTTTTGCAATATATTCCAGCCCCATCACAGAGATTTCATATTGTACCACAATTTTGAAACCTCCCTTTTCAAATAGCATTTCTTTGTGGCTACATCAAACAACTGCGTAATTCTTGGGTGGCTGTGTCATGATTTGCCTGTGTCGCTGTTTGGACACAAAATGGTTCCTTTATCCTGTTGAAAATACCGCTCTTTTGAACATCTGGTGCCTTTAAAGTACTTGAGTCTTTTGGGATCTATTCCTAGGATGAATTTCCAGGCTTATGATAACTGGTCAAAAGAAGATGGACTTTAATTTTTTTTTTTTTTTTACTTTGAAGTAACGGTAGATACGTGAGTAGTTGTAAGAAATAGTGCAGAGGGACTACCTTGGTGACTCAGTAGCTACTAAGACTTGGGGCTCCCAAGACCGGAGGTCTGGGTTTGATCCCTGGTCAGGGAACGGTGTTTTACATGCCTCAACAAAGATGGAAGATTCCAAGTGTGGCAACTAACCCTTGGCACAGCCAAATAAATAAATAGGTTAGACAAAAGCGTGTGGAGATACCAAGTATGCTTTACTTAGTTTCCTCAATGGTACCATATTGTAAACTAGTATAGTATCACAACTGAAATATCAACATTGACCGTCACATACAAGACAGTCCTTCACCACAAGGATCCCTCAAATGCCCTTTTACAGCCACACTTCCCTCCTTCTCACCCCTCCCTGGTAGTTACTAATCTTTTCTCTATCTTTATACTTTTGTTATTTCCAGAGTGGAGATCCTTCAAAGATGGAAAACAGTGTGTGACTTCTTGGGATTTCCTTGTTCACTCAGCATAATTCCCTGGAGATGATCCAAGCTGTTGCATGTATCATGCATGTATATAACTACTTAATTCCTTTATATTGCTGAATTTCCATGGTTTGTCTATCTCCATCCTTCGAAGAACATCTGGGTTGTTTTCAGTTAGGGGCCATCATGAATAAAGCTGCTATGCACATACATGTACAGGCTTTTAAGTGTTTTTCTTTCTCTTGGGGTAAATGCCCATGAGTGCAATTGTTAGGTTGAATGATAGTTGTATGCTTCATTTTATTGGAAACGGCCAAACTGTTTCCACAGTGGCTATTCCCTTTTGAACATGCACTTTTATGGTTGTTCATACATATTGCTGAATTACTTTCAAAAAGGATTGTGCTGATATGCATCACCAATAAAAATGTATACATGAATATATGTCATATAAGAGAATATACATAATGTTTTACCGCATTGTTTTGAGTATTGGCTTTCAAAAATTTAACCTGTCAATTTAATAATATATTAATATTATAGTAAACTTTTGTTGTGTTGGTTTCTAAACCAGACTTTTTTCAACTTTTCTCCATATTGGTTTTATGGTAACTAAACCTAACCGAAGGAAAACACTTCCTGTCCCCTATAGAGTTACACACAATAGCTGTTAGCTGCTCACTGAGGCACTAGAACTGCTTTGATTTCATTCTCTGGGCTTTGAGGTCCACCAGCTTTCTCGAAGCTCCTAGGTTTTTGTTTTGTTCTGTTTTTTGTTTTGTTTTGTTGTTTTACAGAGATACTTATTCACTATAGCAAGTTTGGAAAATGTTAAGAAGCACCCAAATATATATAGATATGAATATAAGTGATGGGCTTCCCTTGTGGCTCAGTGATAAAGAATCTGCCCACAATGGAGGAGAGGCAGGAGACTCAGGTTCAGCCCGTGGGTTCAGAAGATCCCCTGGAGGAGGGCATGGCAACCCACTCCATTATTATTGCCTGGAAGATCCCACAGCCAGAGGAGCCTGGCGGGCTACAGTCCATGGGGTTGTAAAGAGTCAGGCACAACTGAAGCGACTGGGCACAGCACATGGGTATATATGCATATGTACACATAGACACGCACAGTGAATACTGCTCAGCCATACAAAAGAACAAGAACTTGCCATTTGCCTACCATTTACCTGGATGGACTTGGAGGGTATTATGCTAAGTGAAGTAAGTAAGACAGAGAAAGATACTGCATGCTATCACTTATATATGTAATCTAAACAATACAAAAAACTTGTGAATGTAACAAAAAAGCAGACTCACACAAAAAAGTGGTTACCAGTGGGAAGAGAGAAGTGAGAAGGGGCAATATAGGAGGAGGGGATTAAGAGGTACAAATTGTTATGTATAAATGTATAAAATGAGCTACAAGGATATATTATACAACATGGAGAATATAGCCAATATTTTGTAAATGTAAACGGAGTATAATAACAACTCTATATCAAAAAAACAACTTGATTTAAAAACGGGCAGAACTAAACATTTTTCAAAAGAAGAAATGCACATGATGAGTATGAAAAGATGCTCACTACTACTAATTATGAGAGAAAAACAAATCAAAACCGCGATGAGGCATCACCTCACACCTGTCAGAACGGCGATCATCCAAAGGTCTATAAATAACAAATGTCGGTGAGGATGTGGAGGAAAGGGAATCCTTGTACACTGTTGGTGGGAATGTAAATTGGTGCAGCCACTGTGGAAAACAGTATGGAGGTTTCTCAAAAAACTAAAAATAGAACTACCATATGACCCAGCAATTCCACTCCTGAGTATGTCTGAAGAGAATGAGAACACTGATTTGAAAAGATACATGCACCCCAGTGTTCACAGCAGCATTATTTATAAATGCCAAGACATAGAACCTAAGTGTCGTGAGAAACAACCTAAGATGGATGGATAAAGAAGATGTGGTATATATATATATATATATATATATATATATACATATACAATGGAATACTCAGTTCAGTTCAGTTCAGTTCAGTCGCTTAGTCATGTCCGGCTCTTTGGGACCCCATGGACTGCAGCATGCCAGGCTTCCCTGTCCATCACCAACTGCCGAAGTCTACCCAAACTCATGTCCATCGAGTTAGTGATGCCATCCAACCATCTTGTCCTCTGTCGTTCCCTTCTCCTCTTGCCTTCAATCTTTCCCAGCATCAGGGGCTTTTCAAATGAGTCAGCTCTTCACATCAGGTGGCCAAAGTATTGGAGTTTCAGCTTCAGCATCAGTCCTTCCAGTGAATATTCAGGATTGATTTCCTTTAGGATGGACTGGTTGGATCTTGCAGTCCAAGGAACTCTCAAGAGTCTTCTCCAACACCACAGTTCAAAAGCATCAATTCTTCGGCACTCAACTTTCTTTATGGTCCAACTTTCACATCCATACATGACTACTGGAATAACCATAGCCTTGACTAGACGAACCTTTGTTGGCAAAGTAATGTCTCTGCTTTTTAATATGCTGTCTATTTTGGTCATAATTTTCCTTCCAAGGAGTAAGCGTCTTTTAATTTCATGGCTGCAGTCACCATCTGCAGTGATTTTGGGGCCCCCCAAAATAAAGTCTGCTACTGTTTCCACTGTTTCTCCATCTATTTGCCATGAAGTGATGGGACTGGATGCCATGATCTTTGTTTTCTGAATGTTGAGGTTTAAGCCAACTTTTTCACTCTCCTCCTTCACCCTCACCAAGAAGCTCTTTAGTTCTTCTTCCCTTTCTGCCATAAGGGTGGTGTCATCTGCATATCTGAGGTTATTGATATTTCTCCCAGCAATCTTGATTCCAGCTTGTGCTTCATCCAGCCCAACGTTTCTCATGATGTACTCTGCATATAAGTTAAGTAAGCAGGGTGACAATATACAGCCTTGACGTATTCCTTTTCCTATTTGGAACCAGTCTGTTTTTCCATGTCCAGTTCTAACTGTTTCTTCCTGACCTGCATACAGATTTCTCAAGAGGCAGGTCAGGTGTTCTAGTATTCCCTTCTCTTTCAGAATTTTCCGCAATGTATTGT